CGTTCGGGCGACAAACCACAAAAAAGGTGTGAACAGCCTCCATTTACTTCAATGTGAATGTGTGTTTTGTTGATAAATCGCCTAGCCCAAGAGGAACTTTACCCATATTTTCTAAACAAAAAAGGTACCTTTAGAAATATCTAGTATTGGCAATCTACAAACAGATACTTCTAGATAATTTCAGGCTTTTTATTTTTTGCATACCTAATTTTCCATCCCCCCCATTCTTCTCACAGTAGCCATTTTAACTAAGGGCAGGTTACTAGATCTCCCTTTACTTCCTGGAACTCTGGCACATGTGACTAAGACATATGACCATGCACATCATCTCAGGGGAGAAAATGCCTCTACCTGAGATCATGAGATTTGCCAGCAATGCTCTGCTGAAGTAACCTTCCCAGGATGCAATGCTTGGGTACGATTATATAATTGTTTGCCACATTTGACCAGGAAGTAGGAAAAATAAATATTTTAGCTAATGAATGCAAGATTTCAGATCAGCTTGCAGAGCAGTATGCTGTGATTTTTAGTCAAAGGGGGTAAAGGTCCACTTTATCAGATATAAGGATTTTATATCATTAAACAGTTAGTAATTATGCATGGGACAGTCATATTTCCTCATTTCATAAGAAGGCTTTGTTGCCAGCAAGTCTGTCTGCAGGCTTTAGAGATAGCGAAATCCCACAATGCACATGGAAGCCAGAGACCATTTTACCTTTTCCTTGCACAGATAGGCAACCTTGGCACTCCAGCTGTGCTAAAACTACCAGGCTCATCATGCCTGTGGCTGTGTCAGGCTTGCATGGCTCATGGGACTCGTAGTTCCAAAATAGATGGAGTGCCAAGGTTGCCTACTCCTGGCCTAGGATGTAAGTAACAGCTCAGGGCAACATTCTATATATTCATAGCAACAAAAGGCGTACCATTTAAAATGGGGGAAAAAAATTAAAATGTTCCTTGGTCATGTTTACACCTTATTGATTCATGTGAAACTTAAAATGTGATTTAAAAAAAATGCATTTAAACTATTCAACACACACCCATCAGTAACAATACAGATGAATTTAGGTGGTGCAAATAAATTCATCATGCATCATCAATCCCACTGAAGGTATCCAAGGACAGCAGAAAATGAATCAGCTTCCTAGAATGTTTGTCACCACCATGTAATATTTACCACCTTCATTTAGCTTGCAATAAACTGAACAGTAATAAAGCCGAGGAATGTAGTCTGCTGTGCCAGTGATCTGAAAAATACTGGTAGCGGTCAGCTATTCTAAAAAAAACAAGTTAACCAACGAAATTTGATTCAGATGCCCGAGTTTCATGAACGCTAAACTTACATACTTTGAAATCACACTAAATTGGAGGAGTTAAATCTTAAAAATGCATTCAAGTACCCCAACTATTAACAGAAATGTATCCTATTTGTGTATCACTCGGCTGTAGATCCTCAAATCATCTCTGCATTGGTGCCGACACGGTCCATCCTTCTGGAGGGTGGCTACTTTTGTTCCACATGGTCCCTGTGTGGGTTGTAAAGTAGCCACCGCTCCATCTTGCTCACAAAAGACTATAATTTCAATGCAAATTAGTAAACTAAAAACATTAGATTGTAGCCATGTTCTAGGAACATCCAAGTTAATTGTACCTAGGTGGCGCCTTGAAATAAATGTACCCTTTGTCTGGAATTCCTCCTGAAAAATAGCAATGCACTTCCTAGTACGAGAGTACGCCTAGGCACTCCTGTGTATACAACCCCATAGCTGTATATTTGGAGTGCAAGATCCTCGGCACTGCTGCCTCTACCTGATATTTTCAGGAGATTTAGCCATGTCACTCCTTTACTGCAAGCTCTGGCCTGAGGAAGCAAAGCCTTGCCTCTACCAAGATGACCACGGGCACGCAAGGACGGTGCTGAACAAGGCATAGCAAGTCAGTAATGGGAAAATATGGAATTCAGGAGCCAGTATGTCCCATCCAGGAGCCAACAGGGTTTTTTTTTCTCTATTGGCAACTAGAGAAAACCTCAAACATTAGGCAACAGCTGGGGTCAAATTAAATAAGGAATCCAGGAGCCAGCAGGATTTTTTTTAAGGAGCCAGCTCCAGGGACCACCACTTGATAAAACCTTATAAGTTGGGTGCCAGCTGTCATTACTAAGAAACATTGGCTATCTGCCTCCTGGGATTTGTCCAGCCCTGACTTATGGTCTGCCTGAATAGCCACTTTCAAGCATCTACTAATTGTCAAAATAAAGCTAGGATCTACCAAAATGGGCAACTTCAAAAGCAAGTCCACGCATCTATTAAATTCAGTGAGGACCATCCTTAAGGCCAGCTTCACACCATTTTCTGGACCAAATCTGCAACACGGTGCATTGCATTTTGCCGCAATTTTGCAGTGTTCCGGAGCAGGTTTTCTTTTTAGCTTAATATGGCCTTTCAGGTGCGGTCCAGTGCATTTGCATATGTTTTTGATGCGTTTCCATGCTTTCTACTGCATTCCAGACCAGAGAAAATGAGACGAGCAGTATTTTTTTTTGTCTGGTCCAGAACAGACTGCGCTGGTGTGAACAGAGCCCAGAAACACCACAGGGATACACTCAGATGCTTTTTTTGGTCCGGGAACTAACAGCTCTGGTCCTGGGACATGATTCAGACATGGTGGGAACAAGCCCTAAAACAATGCAAAAGGCTCACATTTGATTGTTCAGCAAGGACACCAAGTCCAAAGAGGCCATCAGTCTAGAACAGGTGGAGTACAAAATATACAAGCCGATTTAAGTGGAGGGAAAGCATTATTATTGATCATAAGCACCAACTGGTTACACAGAGGTTTTCTAATCACGTCAATTGGAATCTGTCCAGTTGCTATGGGCAGCACATATACCCTTCTGTTATTTGTAATAATCAGATTAACTACAACCAGACATCTTCTGATAACAGGAAACTCTCTCCTAAACCCATAGAAAACTTAATTTCCATTAACCACACTCTAGGGTTGCATTTTTAAAATGTACTTAACCAGTTGTCTTGCATTGTGATAAATTATGCAGCAAAAAAAAAAAAAAAAAAAAAAAAAAAA